ACAAGTGTTGATCTGGAACTTAAGAAGGTTGATGGTAAGTAGTTTTGTCTTCGTTGACAGGTTGTCTTCATTGACGAGTTTGGCGTCAGAAAAATCTTTAGGAATCGACTTAGCTGGACCAGAGGAGGCTTTTTGATAATGATGTGATGAAGGAATCTAAGACGATTGCTACTCCAAATAGATGATGAAGGAATCTGGGACGATTACTACCTCAGCAGGATGATGAAGGAATCTGGGACGATTACTACCTCAGCAGGATGATGAAGGAATCTGGGACGATTACTACCTCAGCAGGATGATGAAGGAATCTAGGACGATTACTACCTCAGCAGGATGATGAAGGAATCTGGGACGATTACTACCTCAGCAGGATGATGAAGGAATCTGGGACGATTACTACCTCAGCAGGATGATGAAGGAATCTGGGACAATTACTACCTCAGCAGGATGATGAAGGAATCTGGGACGATTACTACCTCAGCAGGATGATGAAGGAATCTGGAACGATTACTACCTCAGCAGGATGATGAAGGAATCTGGGGTGATTACTACCTCAGCAGGATGATGAAGGAATCTGGGACGATTACTACCTCAATGGGATGATGAAGGAATCTTGATGACTTCTACCTCAACGGGATGATGAAGGAATCTTGATGACTTCTACCTCAACGGGATGATGAAGGAATCTTGATGACTTCTACCTCAACAGGATGATGAAGGAATCTTGATGACTTCTACCTCAACGGGATGATGAAGGAATCTTTGACGACTGCTACCTCAACAGGAATGGTGAAGGAATCTTGGACGATTACTACCTCAAAAGGATGGTGAAGGAATCTTGGACGACTTCTACCTCAACGGGATGATGAAGGAATCTTGATGACTGCTACTCCAAAAGGTAATGACTTTTATCTGTTGATCGATCTTTCCTGAAAAGGTAAAGAGTTAGTTGTATGCAATGTCATGATGTATGAGATGCATGATGTCATGATGTTCTCCAGAATAAATGAAGTCGTGTCGTATGCACTTTATCATGTATGTAAATAGGAGATGTGAAATGTGATATGTTTATGAATGTATTTTCGTCTGGGAAAATAAATCCTTGAAAAATGTCGGGGAGTTTGTTAAATCCTGGGCTGACGTTGAAGAATAGAGTTCTTTGATTCCGCTGGGGATGATGCACGAAGATGATTGCAAGAATAAACCGGTAGGAGAAGATGACTCCGTTAGGGAATAAACTTGATGAAGAGATTACTCCGCGGGAAATTACTCTGTGGGAAGAGATGCTTTGCTGAGATTTTGACGATAACTCCGCTGGGGATTCCATTGATAAGCTCTGTTAGAGATTTTGATGATGAACTCCGTTGGGGATAGAAAGGACTTCGCTGAGGATAAACCAGTTAGACTCTCGTGGGGATAACCTTATGAACTTGGCTGGGGAGATGCATTAGTACTCTGCAGGGGACAAGCTTCCGGAATCTACTGGGTAAGATGATTCAACTCTGGCGGGGAAGCTTTTTAGACTGCACTGGGAAATGGCTCCACTAGGGGTATCTTGTATTCCACCGAGGAACATTCTTATACTCTGTCGAGGAATATTAAGACTGCCGGGGATGCTTGCTGAGGAATATCTTTATACTTCGCTGGGGAATATTAAGACTTACTGGGGATGTCCACCCTTTTTAGGGCTGATAGTAGACTAACTCTGCTTGGGGGAGAGTATTGCTGAGTTGTTCGTAGTTGCAAGTCTCAGTGGGGAAAGCTACCCTTACTGTCTTACTTTGCGGGGAGTGAAGGTATCGTGGTCATACTCTTCAACTGAGTCTACCTTGTACCTGGAGGACAGAGCAGCATGTACAGTTCGGACAATTCTTATTGCCCCAGTTTCTACGGGAGAAGAAGGCCTATGGGGTGCTTGGTAACTGCCGATTGACAAATCTTCTTCTGGTAGGCAAGTGACGAGATAACGGGACATAGTCGTACGCTTTGATCCCTAATTTTTGCCTGGACCTCCCTTTCGGGTTTTCAGTCCATCGGGATACCCTTTTTTGCCCAAGCCGCCTTTTCAGGTTTTCGACTTGTCGGGTGTACAAATTTTTTTTTCATCCCTTATTTTTGCCCGAACCCTTTTGGTTCGCCGAGAAGCCCTTATTTTTGCCTAGGCCAGTCAACCTAGCGGGTCTTTGATTATGCGTAGTACTTTTTTTGACTATGTCCATGCTCTCAGGATGTAGGGAGTTGTCACTGTCGGTAGTATTGTGTTGCCATACCCCCAGAAGATCTTTGATCACGCAAGATTCATTGCTGGAATTCATGTCCAATGCCCCAAGTGACTCAGGCGGAGATTTGCCCCTGGCTATTTGACATCTTGAGATATTCCTTGAATCTTGACTTGACTGCCCCAGATGATGGAAACTGATCGTGTCTGCCCCTTGGTTGGAGGTGTTTTTCCACTTGAGGTGATCCTTTTTATTGAGAAGGTTTTTTGTTCACTGGATATTTGTCGCGTAAATTTCTCTGCTGTTGGACAAATAGTCATATGCAAACAATGTTATTTTAAGAATGCAAATCTTATGTCTGTTTTGAAGTTCTTTGAAAATGCAGTTTTCAATAAAACAAGCGATTTTTTTTTTGTAAAATGTGATGTCAACTCAGGATTTTACAGCAAGCCCTATAGGAGTCAGGATACCTTTTGTAACAGTATGCTTTCGAACTAACCCATGCTTCAGCTAGGACTTTTAAGGGTTATAACGTGGCCTGGTTCACGGTTTAAGAAACAAAGGATAAAGGCTCAAAGTATATTTGTACCCACCCGCTCTTCGTGATGTTCTTCAAACCTAAACTCAGCTAATTGTGCATTAGACCTTGTTTGAGTCTTTGCCCTGATATTCCAGTGATGGTTCAGATACTGACAATTTATTTTGAACAGACAGTCATTTTGTTGAGAGTTTGCAGGACCTCTTTCTTATTGATTTTATTATCCCTGTCTTTTGCCTGAACTATTTCTTTTGTGATTACAGTTAGCGGGATGCCCCAGTTTTGTAAGTCTCCTTCATAGGTTTTGACTTATTGGGCTTTTATTTTGAGAAATAATGACTGCCTGTCCTTACGATTATACAAAACCAACACCGTCTTTTGTTACAGAAGTGTTGTACCCCAATTTTTGACCTAAGATCCCATTTTTATTTTTTTAGATAAGTCAAGGTCACGAAATACGGTTGGTTTTAATGTCTCGCCTTTAAGCTTTGACTATGCAAAGATTGTCAAGTGTTTTGAACATTTTTAGCATATGTATCACTAATTTCTAATCGCATACAAAGGTGTATGTTCATGTTTTATTTTGCTTCATGTGCAGAGACAGGTCTGAATCAAGAGCATCAAGTGTCACGCCTCAATTAAGGTTTTGAGTCTCCCAAGCCAGAAGTACGGTTGATTGTGAATTCTCGAAGACTGATTCATCAAGGCACAACTGTTGCACCCTAAATTTCGCCCCTAATTTTTTTCAGTCGCACATTCATACCATATTTTGTCATTTGGTCACAATCATTAGTAAATATCTTCATTCATCATCATTAGTCGTATTTAAGTTGACCAGAAAAGTCAGTTTAAATCAAAGTTTGCATCGTCTTTCAGTTGTAAAATACCCGACATTTTGCTTCATGCATTTTTATCTATTTACTCATTTTTTGCATTGCTCCAAGTTGTTTATATGTCAATAATAAAAATATTTTGGTTTTATAGACAGGCTGTTAAAAGCGATTCGACACTATGCGGGAAATTAGCGAGAAAATATTTCAAGTTTTCACCTTTTACCGATCATTTTATGAATCTGCGTTTCGCGTAGATTATAACGGTATGCTCGCTTTATTTTTTCGGTACAGTTCGAAGTCTCGTTTTTAGCCTTAAACGTCTGTTTAGTCTGATATTTTTATTATTATTTCATTTTTGATTTTTGACTTCTTGGATATTTTTTCTTTAATCGTCGTGACATGTAGTTTATTTTAATGTGTTCATTTTATTTTATCGGATAAATTTTCGTCCGTTTTTTATCGTTTTTGGTCAGTTTGTGTCTTTATTTTTAATTCAGAAAAAAATATTTTAAATTGAGTTATTTTTTATACTTTCAGGTTTATTTTATTTTTGTCATTTAGGGGCTTTTTGGTCACAAAAATTATTGATTATACTATGCTTGATTCCTATTGGTTGTTGGATGAAATTGAGGATCGATACAAAATTGCCAAAAACAATATTAATCATTTTTTACACCTTTTTTCTCTCCTACCCACTCATTATCTTTATCTAAAGCTACCTCTTTGCTATGTCTTTAAAAACACAGCTCCTGTATATATCAATCGCACTGATAATATCCAAACCAATTCCTCTCATAAATTTTCCGCCCTCATCAACAAAACAACACCAACACGGAACAACCCATTTTGTCCCCATTAATAAGTTCTACTGTTCACATCCAACATTATTCATCTTTCTACGATCATGTCAAATTCAAGCGAATACTCGAAGCCCTCTTAACCTCAGCTAAACCCTTCATCCGTAAAGAAATCAACTCCATCAACGCCAACCTCCCTTCCTTAATAACCATCCTTCATTCCCATGGTGCATCAGAATGTTGGCACAAACATGGTACTTTCCTCGAACACCTTGTCGACATTTTCCGAATCCACCACCTCTACACCCTCATTTGCAGTCTCCTACTTCATCAACAATCTCAAATTCTCGTTAGAATCCGCTCTCAAAGCCTCCAAACTCGTCCATTTCAAAACCTCCAAAAAACCCGATTCAGTTCTCAACTTCTTCAGAACCCACGGTTTCACCGGTTCAGATATACACAAAATCATCCAAAGATCCCAAAGTTTCAATTTTTACCCTCCCTCAAGACGCCATACTCATGCAAAACGACACACTCTCCTCCCATTTCTCTTTCTATAATTTCTTCTTTCTTCTTCCATTTCTGTGGTTTCATTTCATCATAGGATAGGAACATGTTTTCTAGGTTGTTACGTCCTCACGACCATGAAGGAACTAGGGTTGGTGTTGTTCATGAAGACACAAATCATCATCACAATCACCTTGCCGACCCTTGTCTTGTTCTCACTTCTGATCCAAAACCTCGTCTTTGTTGGACTACTGACCTTCACCAACGCTTTGATTGATGCTGTTACTCAACTCGGTGGACCAAGCAAAGCCACACCGAAAGCAATCATGAGAACCATGAATGTCAAGGGTTTGACACTCTATCACTTAAAGAGTCATCTTCAGAAGTATAGGCTCGGTAAACAAGCTGGAAAAGATTCTGACGAGGGATGCAAAGATGGTTCATATCTTCTAGAAAGCCCTGGTACTGAAAACTCATCTCCTAAATTACTAGCTTCTGATGCAAATGAGGGTCATGAAGTCAAGGAGGCTTTAAGAGCACAGATGGAAGTGCAAAGCAAACTACATTTACTAGTGGAGGCAGAGAAGCACCTGCTAATTCTCCAAGATGCAGAGCGAAGATATATGACCACGCTTGAGAGAGCTTGTAAGATGTTGGCTGATCAGTTTATTGGCGACACAACTATAGACAACAGTACATCCGTTTCCAACTTTGGCAAGTTTCGGTAACATCTCAACCCCATTTTATGATTGTCGTGTTGTGAAAGTTGTTGTTTATGTGAAAATTGTTTTAGTACGGAAACTATTATGCTACCATGATTATTTCTTGAGTTTAAATCTGAAAATTGGTTATGCTGTGATGTTTTGTTTGTAATATGCAAGGGTTTAATGGTAGATATGAGTGAAGTTCTTGATGCTAATGTTTGTGTCAAGCTTGTGTTGAGATTTCAATGTCGAATTTGTGATATAATTGTTGATTAGTCTATGTTGAGTTAATGAGATTGAACATTGAATTTTACTTTTGTTTGAGTTTTAATTTGGTTGGGACAACATGTTATTTGAGATAACTTAAAGGTTTGTATTGGTATTTTGTTGTTTAATTCAATTGGATTTCAAAGGTTTAACTTGTGGGTAGTATTGTTTTTTTCCTTTGAGTTTGAACTTGATTATTTGAGGTAAATTCTATGGAGCATTTTTGGATGGTATAGCTGCTGCCCGGATTCGGTTTGGTGGAGTAAAGGGTTGTTTAGAACATCGTTTACCATGTTTGGAATTGAATAATCATCATTTGTTTGGTTCTTGATTTGTCCATGTGCATTCATGCAAGTTTCATTTTATATCTTGTAAATACTAATTGTTGCAATTTTGTTTCAATTTTAATTTGTATACCACTTATGCTACTAACGCGTTTGTTATTGTGAAGGTTTCCAAAAATCTATTTTAAGCACTCATTCTCACATAGCGCATCCACAATTCTCATATTTCTCCCTTTTACCTTTTATTGTATTTTATTATTTTGATTTAATATTTGATACTGTAAATATATACTTGTATATAATATTTTGACTGTATATTTTACTTGTAAATAAATTCAGGTTTCTTAAAAATATTATTTTCATCGCATTGTGATTTTATTTTAATTCCAACTAACTTCTGAAAATTGTGCGGACGCACATAAGTTTTCCGTGCTGTTGGATTTTGTCGGTATATCTCTTGTGATGCAGGGATTCTTATCTGACACCGTGAGCTTTATCCACCGCCTTTGCGCTTCATCTGATGCTTGGAGTATTATCTCACATTAGGTTTTTTTTTGATGATGCTGTCGGCTTGTGATTTATTTTCACCTAAGGTTTGATATACTCTTAGCTTATTTATCCGTTTGTGGTTTTAACTCCAAGGGAAAGATTTAAATTTGTTGACTTCACGTCATCAAATGCATCTCATCCGATCGTGCGAATACCTTTTTTTTCATTTTTTGTTTGTTTACTATTCTGTTAAACCCAAGATAATTTTCCCAAAAGATTCATTTTTTAAACTCACACCTTTTAAGTCAAAACTTCGACACAAGGTCGTCGCCTTTTCAAAATCTCGTCCATACCCATTTTTAGCCAAACGAACCATTTTAATCAAACAAACAATTTTAACCAAAAACAGATATTTCAAAAGGTTCCTGCGGAGTACCGCAGATGCATTGGGTGCTAATACCTTCCCATTGTATAACCAACCCCCGAACTCTCGATCTCTTTCAAAAACGCATTGTATTTTTATTACTTTTAAGTATTATTTTACATTGCACATTTTAGGGTTTTATTTCGCTCTTTTCCCTTTTCCCTTGGAAATAATAAAGCTCGGTGGCGACTCTTGCTTTTGCGAGTCAAGTTAATTAATAGCTTGATCTCCGATTTTCACCGCTACAGAATTGGCGACTCTGCTGGGGAAAGATTGACCTCTTGCTGGTCCATCCCTAAGTGGGTTAAGCCTAATTTATTTTATCTGTTTTATCATTATTTGCTTGTTTGATTATATGTATATACTATGATTATTTTGGTGTTGATAATATTTACAAAGGACGAGTCCTATACCCGGACTAAGTTACACTTAGGAATAGGACGGGCGGTATAGTCATGTTAACTTTGAGGGAGTAATCCCGAAGAAGGAGGCATGAGATCCCCCACTCAGTGGAAGGCCCTTTTGAACGTAATATTTGTTTATCGAGTAATCGGGAAGACATTATTATTTTCGACCTGGGAGCCAGAGAAGCCGGGAACCGTAGAACCCTAACCCATCTTGGCCTTTTAGGTGTAGCGCGAAGGTTATAACGGAGTAATCCGGAAGTAATTGTTACGCGATGCTACACTCGGATGAGTTTCTCTTGAGAATATTGCTGATTATTGAGTAATCAAGACGTTGGTAATATCCGAAGGAGGAATGTAGACTCCGGGAACTCTTAGAACCTTGTTCTACAGGTGTGATTAAACCGTTAGTACATACCTTGGGGGTGTTCCTTACCTTGACTCCATGCTCGTGACGTTGAACCTTTCGACTTTATTTGTGACCTTGCTTGTGGTTGTTGCATAGCCATGCATTCATGCATCCATAAAACCCTTTTCACTTGACTTTGAAGGAATTTGGAGGTCTTTCTTTGTAAACATCACAAGTTTCGTCAAGCTCAATGGATCTTGGGTGTTGATAGGGCGAAAACCCTAATCCACCAAAATGGATGATTGATCTTGATGATAACTTGATCAACGCTTTGATCCAATTCAAAATTCATCTTCTATCTTCATACTTTGATGTTTACAACTTAATATCTTGAGTTCCTTGAAAGTCAGATAAAAACTCTCTTTTGCATATCATGCATCATTCTACATTTTTTGTTTCACTTTCAAAGGTCTTTTTCCAAGTCTTATTTTTTCTTTGGTCTCACCAGTACAACACTGACGCTAAGAGAACAATGGAGAATATCAAGAAAAAGATTTCTGAACTTCGCAGAGAGGTGACTAATTTGAAAGCTGGTATGGATCACTCAAACTGTGGTTGAAATTTTGGTTGCCGCCCAAGTCAATCCTTCTAGGAGGGAGAAAGCGATGATAAAAGTCTTCACTGAAACTCTAAAATCATTCTCTCATGAGAAGGTGATGGTTAATGCACCCAATGACTTTCCTGACAAGGTGAATGTGGGAGTGCGTCTAGAAGAAGATGTTGGAAAGGGATGTTCATATGAAGATGGTAGCTCAGCTAATGGTGTGAAGAAGTTTGATAATAACTTTTCCAAGAAGAGAACCATAGGAAGAAATATTCATCGTCAAAATCATCACGTTCCTCCTATTTATCAATAGAATCAGCAAGTTCCTAATCAGAGGAAAACTCAATTTGATCCAATTCCAATCACCTATACAGAGTTGTTCCCTATCCTGATGCAGAGGAATTTGGTTCAGACCCGACCTCCACCGAAGGTTCCTGAGAAGATACATCGGTACTACAAAGCTGATTTGGCTTGTACCTTTCATCAAGGTGCTCCTAGGCATGACTTGGAGGGTTGCTTTGCTTTGAAGATTGAAGTTCAGAAGTTGGTCAGAAGTGGTATCTTGTCATTCAAGGACGTTGGTTTTGAGGTTCAAATCAAGCACGTGCCGAAAAGTAAACACGATTGATGGTCACTTCGAGTTTTGAAGGATGTTTTCGGTGATTCAAGTCCAGATGGAAAGCCTTCCCCGATCATTAACTTATTTCTGCTTTTTGTAATTTTTCTTGTTTATCAAAACATTGTTTGCATGTAAGAACTTGTTTGCATTTGAATGATTATCTTAATACAATGGGTATGTTTGTCTTGAAGAAATTCATTCGTTTCACTCATATTTGTTTTCAAATTTTAAATTTCTTTTTGCATTATGATACCAACTTGTTGCCTAGGCAGAGATTGAGGGGAGGATGATGAGCTAAAGAACACAAAATCTCTGGTTGTTTGCTTTTGGATAAAATCTTGCTGATGATGTACAGGCATTGTTTCAAATCCCTAAACACCGGAGATATAAGGAAGATAATCCCTTGCTAACCCCCTTTGAGCCTTGAAGCAGAAGTTTCTTTTCTATACGAAAAAACCTTGAATTTTAACCTGGGGCATGGTAGTTTTTAGTTAATCTGACTGAGTGTTCAAAATTCATAAGGAAGATGTTTTTTGAAGAGAAACTACGAGGGCTATCCTTCATGTATAATGAATCTAGAGGATGTGGAACCACAATGTTATCCCTCATTCATCAAGAAACGAGGCAATCACAATCTTCTCAACAAGCAAATACAAGCTCATGTCACACATTTTGTTCAAAAAGTCAAAAATCGAGAAAAAGAAAAAGCCTGCTAAGTCAAAAAAACATGAAAACGTGTGACTTAGGCAAAATTAAGGCATCCCGCTGGACTATCAATTCAAAAGAATTAGTTCAGGCAAAAGTTAGGGAAAATAAAAATTGCAAAGAAAAGGACTGCAAAGAAAAGTCCTCAGCAAAGAACAAATTGGTGACTACAAACACGAAGACATGAGGGTGGTTTCTACTCCGAAAGCCTCGTCGTTTCCTTGACCGTCACAAAATCCTTTTGAGAGATGAACACTCATGTTGAATTAACTGAACCTAGGGTTGGAGAACATCATGAAGAATGGGTGGGCACCAAATATTTTGAGCCTTAAAATCTTTTTTCTAAAAAACCATGAACCAGACCACGTTACAACCTTCAAAAGTCCTAATTGAAGCAAGGTTATTTTGAAAGCATACTTCAATGAGATAGTGTTCCTGACTCCCATGAATGTTCTAAATAGTTATGTTGGTATCATATGTTTTTCCTATACAAAAATAAATGGTGCTCTAACTCGCAAAATTTGTGCGATATCTTTTCAAAATCTTCAAGACTTACATAACTGTTGCATTAGAATTTTCATTCTCATTGTAAACTTTTTCTAACTGCAAAACATTTGTTTGATATCAAGGAAGCTCACATAAGCACCAGTGATGAGTTTATTCTTTTAAGGCCTGAAACTATGTTGAGTAATTGGCGGATCACATCAAGAAAAAATAATATCCAGAGGCATGCCACATGAAGACCTTAAGCACATACATGTTGCTTCTCCCAGTTAATGCTTCTCCAACGTGTTTACCCTGTTGGGGCAAGATTTGAAGACTTTGTTGTGCCAACTACAATCAATTCGGGGCAATCACGTCGAGATTTATTGAATCTCT